TTTTCATTAGAGTTTGAATAACTCCTTTCACTAAATGGCTTTTAGTAACTTAAACGAGACCTTAACTTATTTTAGTGCAGTTTTGACAAAATTTTTTTGCTAAAAAATCTTTTGTTACACTACTTTATTTTATTCCTTTGATTGTACATGTTAAATAAAAGCTTGTTTTGAAAAAAATATTTTTTTTACATTATTTTATTATATTTTTGTTTTAGATACGCACATTTTCAAATCATGTTTAAAAACAATCGTTTGATTATTGAAACATGTTCAAATTAAATTCCAAAATGTTTCTTCTTCGTTTTAAAAATATGAGCTTTCAAATATGATATTAAAATTTTATTTTTATTAAATCTCTACAAATCTCTTTTATATATGAACATTGTCAAAAATTGATATATACAGATGCGTGCAACTAATTAGCAACGAAATTCAAAATGATATTGCTTGCAAATTATGTTTATTTATTTATTTTTAATAATTTTCATTTAAAATATAATTCAATCTATAACAGAAACCACAATAACAAAAGTTGCAAAGCTTCCACAAATTGCAAAAAAATTAATCAAACTTAAAAAAATCGTCATCAAAATTTCAAAATTTTTAATTAGAACATATAGAAAATGTTGCGGTATGCAGTTTTGTAGCCCATTCAATTTTAGTATAATAAAGTGGAAGTTTCAAGTCGCTAGAGATTAGCGTTGATTTTTTAGATTTTTTTTTGTCGAGGGTGTTGCGGATTTTTTCCATGTAAAAAAAAAATTTGATCATGTGTTATATGGAAGAAAATGCGCAACACCCTCCATAAAAAAAATTCTAAAAAATCAACGGTAATGTTTAGCGACTTGAAACTTGCACTAAAATTGAATGGGCTACAAAACTGCATACCCGAAAATTTTCTAGATAGTCTAATTAAAATTTTTGAAATTTTGATGAAAATTTTTTGAAGTTTGATTAATTTTTTTGCAATTTGTGCAAGCTTTGCAACATTTGTTATTGTGGTTTCTGATATAGATTGAATTATATTTTAAAAGAAAATTATTAAAAATAAATAAATAAACATAATTTGCAAGCAATATCGTTTTGAATTTCGTTGCTAATTAGTTGCACGCATCTGTATATGTATGTATACTTATAAACAAGTTACAAAATTTAATAAAGAAAATATGGATATTTAACATACATATCGTCGTTTAAAGTGCAAAACCGCGTATCAACAAAATGCAAAACCGCGTATCAGCAAAATGCAAAACCGCATATGTGAAGTTGTAGAAATTATTTTCTAGAGCGTCAAAATACTCATAATTTAAAATGGTTCCCTTTTTTGTAAAGCAATCGCATATTTGCCTAGTATATTTCAGGACGAATGGATAAGGATTGAGCCAAGAGCTTGTGTGAGCAAATCCAATTTTTGGCAGCCAATGTCAGTTACGCGGTTTTGTAGAATGACGATACGCGGTTTTGCACTTTAAACGACGACGTGTACATACATACATACATAAATACATACAGATATTCTTGCCTTTATGCCAAGCTGGGCCTACTGATTTTGCTTCGCAATGATCAGATCCTGCAAATTGTAATAAGAAAATTTAAAGTTTTTATTTAATAACCCACAGGAATTTATTTTTTTACTGAGTCTTACTAAAGCTTTTTTTCGATCAAAGAAGTCCACAGTATCACCAATGTCCCTTTTATTTAGGTGGTTAAAATTCCGATAACACATTTACTTCATTGCCTTTTCTGAAGATTGAATTAGATTTTTTTTATCAATCTGTTCGACAAATGATGCACACATTTGAAATTGTTTTCATTTTAACTATGTAGCTTTTTAAATGATGATGCAAAACATTTTACTTTTTAGACTTTTTCATACTTAATTGAAGGAAAACGTTTTTATTTTAAAAGTGTTTCGTTTTATTTTACTTATTGAAAATTTTGTGGCACTGCAATTCGTTGGGACATTATTCTAAGATGTTTCATTTTAGTTTTGAAAATACGCATTTTTTGCGTTATTTTTCTCATTTCATCAAAAAAAATAAATATTATATAAAGTGCGTTTTTGTTTAGCGAATGTTTCGTTTTAAAGGCGTAAATACAAACACTGCATTTTTTATTTTGTATGAAGTAAAATTATATAAACAAAATTTTGTTTTACAATTTATTTAAAAACTTGCGCTACATGTACATTTCTCAGTGTCATTTTCTTCTCCTTCTTTTCCTTCTCTTTCGAGGTCAATATACTGTACTTTTCTAGGATCTAGGAAACTGTAAAAATATATTGATTACATGCCATTTAAGTATAATGCAAAATCAGATTCTTTAAATTTCTAAATTATCTTTTTTAATCGCTTACCCTGTTTGGTTTAAAACTGGTAATTACAAAATAAAAAATAAAGAATTGGAATATAATGAATCTGAGGCTGCATAACACTTAAATGGCATTTAACCAATGTATTCTTCCAACTCCGATCGTTTGATTGATCCTAGAAAATTGTATTGATCCCAGAAGAGAAGAACTCATTTTCCTGTAGGAAAAATAAATGCTAGATCCGCGACCTCTTAGAATTATCTAAGAGATGGGAGATTCATTGAGGATAATTACTATACCAAACACTAAAAATTTAGTCTTCGTGCGGTCGCACTGCAGGATTTTTTTTAACTTGGTTTAATGTACATACACATGTATGTACTAGGGATTTTAATTTCTTCGCTTTTTACGATCCCGGGATTTTCGGGATGTCGTTATCACAATGCCAGGATCCCGGGCTTTAGATATTCATTACTTTTCAACAATTTAAGTCGAAAAAAATTGCTCTATATTGTTTGAGAAGCCCTCCTACCATAAAATAAATAATAGATAAATGGGATTGAAAACTACTTTTTACTTAACGGAAATTGCACACGGAAATGGTGCAACGGAAATGATGTAACGGAAATGGTGCAATGGGAATGATGCAACGGAAATGGTGCAACGGAAATGGTAGGGGCTTCTTGAGTGTATGCACATGGTAAAGAATAACCTTTAGAAAAAGACCAATACAAGAATGAAAGTAAAGGTGAGTACGTACATAGATAAAGAAAAGGATAAAGGCAAAGGTGAAAGTAAAAATAAAAACAAAAACAAAGATGCGTAAAGATAAAGGCAAAAATGAAGACAAAGGTAAATTTAAACACTTTACTTATATAAGGGAAAAGGTGCAGGGGGAATATGTAGATTAAGAAACAACGTAGAAACCAAGATAAATATAAAGATGAGGATGAGGATACGGATAAAAGTAAAGATGAAGATAGAGAAAGAAAGATTTAAATAAAGGTAATTGTAGAGAAAAGGATATAGGTAGAGACACAGAGACTCAATCTGGGAACTATTTTGGGATTTTAGAGATTTCCGGGATTCTCGGGACATATCGATATAATAATCAATATTTTTTATCGGTTGTGTTTTCGATTTTGTTATCGAAATTTCAGTCGATATTGCTATCAATTTTGCTATCGATATTTCCAGAACTTATCGATATAATAATCGATTTTGTTAAAGATTTTGCAATTGATATTTTTAACGAATTTGTTATTGTTTAAGCCTTAACTCATTTAAGATTACGATTTCATTGCATATTAATATAGTTTTTAATTATCGCTTTCCTTTGTATGAAATACTATGTCTTTTGAACCTTTTTTATTTTATTTATATCGATAACTTGCGATAACAAATTTGTAAACACATCTTTATATCGATGTACTAAAAGATTTTGACATATGAAGTGAAAAAATATAAATAGCTTTCTTCTTCTTCACGAAACTTCCGCTCGTAGCGTGTTCGATTTTTATACCCGAGCGCACTTGTGCACAAGGGTATTATAACTTTGTTCACATAACGGTTGTTTGTAACAGGCAAAACGAATCGAGATAGATATAGACAAATGTATACATAAATGATCAGAATGAAAAGAGAAATCGATTAAGCGGTGACTGTCTGTCCGTCCGTCCGTCCGTCCGTCTGTGCACACGATAACTCGAGTAAAAATTGAGATATCTTAACGAAACTTGGTACGTGAACTTCTTTTGGGCGTGGGACGGATGGTATTGAAAATGGGCGAAATCGGACAATAACCACGCCTACCTCCCATATAACGGTAATTTTCAGAAAAACGAAAACTGCGATATTTTAGTAACTACTGAAGATAATTCACTCAAAATTGATATTTGCAATGATTTTTAGACGAAAAATAAGAATATTACAAAATTTTGGCAAATGGGCGTAGCCACGCCCACTTATGGTTACATGTGTATATCTTGGTACCTGCTACACCAATTTCTTCCAAACTTGGCACAGTTGTTGGTCCTGGTACAGCATACCAACTGGCCGAAAATTTCTAAAATCGGATAATAACCACGCCCACATCCCATATAACGGTAATTTCGAGAAATACAAAATCTTCGATAAATCAGTAAATATTGAAGCTAATTTATTCAAAATTGATGATTGCAACAATTCTTTACCAAGAAATACGCTTATGACAAAATTTTGGAAAATGGGCGTAGCACCGCCCACTTGTGATCACATATAAGTATATCGGTAACCGTTCTACCAATTTGTACCAAACTCGGTATGGTTATTGTACTTGCCACGTGTAAGCAAAACGTTGAAAATTATTGAAATCGGACTAAAATAACGGCCGATTCTTATATAACGGTAAATTTAAGAAATGCTTGAAACTTCAATATTTCGAAATTGAAGGACGCTAATTTACTCAAAATTGATACACCTCGGCTTACCATCTAGCGGAAGGTTTCGGAAGGGTGAAAAAACATATATTTAATACTTGCGCCGGGTATTTAATGTTCGGCTCCGCCCGAACTTAGACGGTCTTACTTGTTTTATCTTAAAATATTTTATAAAACGCCAACCATCTTGTGGACTAAAAACGCTTAGTCTGCCTACAAAACATTTTGAGGCCCCGGCGAGATAATTATTTTTCAATAAATACTTTGCGAACATGTCCGACAGTGAGCAGCAAGCCCCAGCTAAGAAATGCGATGCAGGAGGAAGTTCAACATCCACTGCTTCTACGAAGGCACAAAAGGCAACTACTGTGCTGAATACTCGTCGTACCGTGTGCGAGCAACAAATGGAGCGCAGCCGCGACTTCGTTGAACGTATGAAGCATGATCCCGCCTTGATTTCCACATCGGAGCTGACTATTCGCCTTGAAGCTCTGGAAAATTCATTCAGCACATTTCTCATCGTTCAATCAAAAATAGAGGAAAGAGATCCTGAAGAAACTTCACATCATCATCGATCTACTTACGAGGAGTTATACTACTTAACTGCATCTAACATAAAGGTTATGCTCAGAAAATTAGATCACGGAGCCAACACAACCATCATGGATAACGTAGTGGCAGAAAGGTATGACACTATAAGATTACCGAGAATAGAGTTGCACTCATTTTCAGGTGAGGTACTGCATGGATGAGCTGGTACGATGAGTTCATTTCCCTGGTTCACAACAACCAGCACATCACAACTCTCGCGAAGTTTCATCATCTGGTAGCAAAGTTGGAGGGTACTGCCAAGGCGACTCTCGAAGGGCTGAAGATAGTATCCGAAAATTCCGAAGTCGCATTACAGCGTCTCCGTGAGCGATTTGCAAATAAAAAGGTAATCGGAAAAAGGCACATTGAACTTATGTTTCAGCACCCTAAGATTACTAAGGCAAACTCTGCCGATCTTCGAAATCTAATCGACAAGATGAATAATCACATGGTTGGACTTCGTAACCTAAATCGACCTGTTGATCAGTGGGACGACCTTATTGTTCACTTAATAACTTCAAAATTGGATGCCGAAACCACTTTAAAACGGAATGAAGATTCAGCTATAGATCGTATGTCAACACTTACCGAGCTAATGGCATTTTTGAAGAAAAGATGCCAGATATTAGAAGGTAATGTACAAACAAACTTTCTGAGTAATTCAAATTCCACTGGCGCAAGCATATCTAAAACCCAAAAACAACAAAGGGCATTTACGGCTACCAAAATTGCATGCAACTTTTGTCATAAATCAGGTTACTTAATTTATCGATGCATATCCTTCATAAACTTATCCGTAAAAGACCGATTACAAAAAATTCGAGAGCTAAAACTATGCGAAAATTGCTTAAAAACAAATAACCACACTGCATTAAATTGCCCATCGAATTTTAAATGTCACTCCTGTGGGCATAAACACCATTCTCTATTACATCAAACAAATACCTCTGTCTCGCAAGCGAACAGCAGCAACAGCTATCAAACTGGTTTCTCTACTAGTTTGCAATCTCCAAGTTCCAATTTTACGGCTAAGCCTCAAGTCACTTTGCATAGCAAATCGAGCGACAGCAACATTCTGGGAACTGTTATCCTACACTTAATTAGCAACTGTAATCAAAATATTACGTGCCGTGCACTTTTAGATTCCGGCTCTCAGTTGAACATGATTTCAGAACGCCTCGTTAGAATTGCTGGAATCAAACGTCAGTATTTTCCTACATCTTTCACGTCTGCAAACAACATGCAAACGTCAACAAAGTTTAAAGCTACATTTACAATTAAATCGCGCCTCAATCAGTTCTCTTCTAACTTAGAAGCCTTAATTTTCCAAATATAACTGGACCAATACCTGATCGTAAGATTAGTATTGATGAATGGAATATTCCGAAAAATATTCACTTAGCTGACCCGCTCTTCAACATTCCGCAACGAGTAGATCTTCTTATTGGTGTAGATCTATTTTATGATATACTCTCAGTCGGCCAAATTAAGCTTGGGCCGAACTTGCCGATAGCACAGAACACTTTACTAGGCTGGATAGTGGCTGGAAAACTCTCCGCTCTAAAATCTCAAAATTTAAGTAGCAATTTTGTGAAGTATACCGACGCAAATGAGGATTCAGCGCTCAACAACTCGATTAAAGCTTTCTGGCAAATTGAAGACATCAGCTCTCCATCTCACAATACATCGCGAGAAGAAAGAGAATGTGAAGCGCACTTTAAAAGAAATATTGTTCGCATGAAATGCGGCCGCTATCAAGTAAGGTTGCCATTTAAACAGAATTTCAATATGCTAGGCGATTCGTATAATATTGCACTAAAGAGATTTTATTCGCTAGAGGCAAAATCGCAGAAATGAACAACTGCGAGTACAATATGTAGAATTTATGGAAGAGTTTATTAATTTATCTCATATGGAAAAGGTTGTACATGCTGATATTAAATCTCCACACTACATAATTCCTCATCACTGTGTATTTAAGCCATCTAGCTCCATGACAAAAATCCGAGTTGTTTTTGATGCTTCATCAAAAACGAGCACTGGTGTATCGTTAAACGAACTGCTTATGATAGGGCCCGTAATTCAACCTGACTTGTTTACAACAATGCTTCGTTTTCGATATTTTACATACGTTTTTACTGCCGACATTACAAAAAAGTACCGCCAGATATCACTTCATCCTGATGATCGGCGATTCCATTACATTTTATGGCGATCATACGAAGATGATCCTGTTCAGATATTTCAATTGTGTACGGTCACATACGGGACAGCATCTGCGTCTTTTCTGGCAACACGAGCTTTACAACAGCTTTGCGAAGATGAAGGCCAATATTTTCCTTACGCCGCTCAAGCAGCTCTAAATGGATTTTATGTCGACGACTTATTGACAGGCGCTAACACGCTCCAAGATGCAAAGGTTTTGCAAAGACAGCTAGAGGCAATGATGTTTAGAGGAAAATTCGAGCTAAAGAAGTGGTGCGCCAATCATAATGATATTCTATCGGATGTATCAGAAGAAGATAAGGAGAAGTTTTTTCAAATTAAAGGGAAAAACGCTGTTAAGACATTAGGTCACATTTGGAATCCTTCTACCGATAAATTTCTTTATCAAAGGCCGACCGTACAGAGCCTAAAAACATTTACAAAACGCAGCATTCTCTATGAAATTGCTCAATTCTTTGACCCTCTTGGTTTAATAAGCCCGGTTGTAGTACTGGCAAAAATATTCATGCAGCAGTTATGGCGTTTGAAGTTGAGCTGGGATGAGTCACTGCCTCGAGAGTACCATAGCAGATGGGGAAACTTTCGGGATCAACTACATTGCTTAAACGATTTTGAGATTGATCGCCAGGCGTTTGCACCGTGTGCAAAATATGAGCTTCATGGGTTTTCGGACAGTTCTGAAGATGCGTATGGAGCATGCCTTTATGTGAGAAGTCTCTCTGAAGGCGGAGAAGTTCTCGCCATTAAATTATTATGCGCTAAAACAAGAGTAACGCCGCTTAAAAAATGTTGTTGCCGAGACTGGAATTGTGCGCTGCGGTCATAATGGCCGAACTTGTAAAACGCATAAAGACAATTTTTGCTTTCATCGAATTTCAAAACATCAACTATTGGACCGACGCAACGATTGTTTTAAACTGGCTCCAACAAGATTCGTGCAGCTGGCAAACATTTGTCGCTAACCGCGTTGCGCTAATTCAGGAAAGCAGCACCTTTTCTCAGTGGCGCTACATACCAACCGACCTCAATCCAGCTGATTTATTATCTCGTGGTGTACTACCTAAAGCATTAACTCATTCGAGCCTATGGTACAACGGCCCTAGTTTTTTAAAGCAATCTGAAGATTTTTGGCCTTCTCCGCCAGTGGGAATTCATTACAACGACGATGTCCTACAAAGAAAGAAAATAAAACTTGTTCTAGCAGCAACACGTGAAGTGAGCTTCATAGAAAACGTCAAATATAACAACAATTATCAAAGTCTACTTAACGTAGTCGCGTACATACTGCGTTTTAAGCATAACTGCACAACCAACAAATCAAATCGCCGCTTAGGTGTACTCTCTTCAGAAGAGCTACGTCTTGCGTTGCTTGCTATTGTAAAGTCAATTCAGCAAGCGGAGTTCTCTTCAGAGTTGCACGCATTGAAATGCAACAATACTCTTTCAAAGCAAAGTAAACTTAAGGCCCTCGTTCCGTTCATTGATCATGAGGGAATTCTTAGGGTAGGCGGACGTTTGCGGAATGCCGCTTTAGATTTCAACAACAAGCATCCAGTAATTCTTCCTAAGTCTCACGTTTTTACACGAACACTTTTAACTCATCTTCATATTATCAATCACCATGTTGGACCACAAGCGCTTCTTAGCATAACTAGACAAATGTTTTGGCCTATTCACGGGAAAGTTGCTGCCCGCTCCGTTGTTCATCATTGTTTTCGCTGTTCCAGAGCACGCCCAGTAAGACACGATCAACTCATGGCAGACATGCCTGAACTCCGAGTACAACAATCAAGGCCGTTTAATATTGTTGGAATTGACTACTGCGGACCCTTTTTCGTTCATTTTCGCCGCCGCGCCACAGCACCAACAAAGGCATATGTTGCTATATTCGTATGCTTTGTCACCAAGGCCACGCATTTGGAGCTTGTTGACGACCTCAGTACTAAAGGCTTTCTCAACGCTTTGAAACGTTTTATAGCTCGCCGTGGCCGTTGTGCGGTTTTATATAGCGATAACGCTACAAATTTTGTCGGCGCCCGAAAGGAGCTAGAAGAGCTTTCCAGTATGTTTCAGCAAAAACAATCTCACGACGAAATCGCAAAGGAATGCGTTATTAATGGAATTATTTGGAAGCATATACCTCCCCGGTCTCCGCACTTTGGCGGCCTGTGGGAGGCTGCTGTTAAACCTTTCAAATACCACTTAAAACGAATAATGAATAACTCTTCACTAACTTTTTCAGAGTTTAATACCCTAATCATCCAAATCGAGTCAATACTCAACTCTAGGCCGATCACAGCGGTTCCTGAAAACGCCTGCGATGCACCTGCCCTTACTCCTGGACATTTCATTATTGGTACTGCGTTAAATGCTATTCCTGAACCAGATGTAAAGGCCGCCGAAAACTTCAATCGCTTGCAGAGGTACCAGCAGTTACAGTGGTACTTCCAACAATTCTGGGACAAATGGCATAAGGATTATTTGCAAAGCTTGCATGGTCGCAATAAATGGCTAAAGAAAGGTCCGCCTTTGAATATTGGAGATATAGTAATTTTCGAGGAAGAAAATATTCGCCGCTTCAGTGGAAGCTTGCACGCATAACTCGTCTACATCCAGGCAAGGATGGTATCGTGAGGACCGTAAAAGTAAAAACTCCTAAAAACGAAGTCCAGCGAGCCACCGCTAAAATAAGACGACTACCTGTTGATGGCCCTTTGGTCCCTCAAGGGGGGGGGTGAATGTTTAAGCCTTAACCCATTTAAGATTACGATTTCATTTCATATTAATATAGTTTTTAATTATCGCTTTCCTTTGTATGAAATACTATGTCTTTTGAACCTTTTTTATTTTATTTATATCGATAACTTGCGATAACAAATTTGTAAACGCATCTTTATATCGATGTACTAAAAAATTTTGACATATGAAGTGAAAAATATAAATAGCTTTCTTCTTCTTCACGAAACTTCCGCTCGTAGCGTGTTCGATTTTTTTATCTTAAAATATTTTATAAAACGCCAACCATCTTGTGGACTAAAAACGCTTAGTCTGCCTACAAACAGTTATCGATATTTTTTTTATAGATACTGCTATTGGTTTTGTTATCGATGTTGGTATCGCTTTTGTTATCGATGTTGTTATTGATTTTGTTATCGATTATGCTATAGATATTTTTATCGATTTTCATATAGATATTTTTATCGATTTTGTTATTGATATTTTCATCGATTTTGTAATCGATTATTTATCGATATTTTAACGACTTTGTTATCGATGTTTTTATTGATTTTCTAAACGATTTTGCTACCAATATTATTATCGATTTTCTATCGAAATTTTTATCGATTTTGTTGTCGATTATAATCGATTTTGTTATCGATTATCTTTCGATTTTGTTAGCGATTATTTATCGATTATTGTTTTCATTTTTTTTCGATTTTGTTATGGATTTTGTTACCGATTATTTATCGATTTTGCCATCGGAATTTTTATCGAATTTGTCATCGATTTTGTTATCGATATTTTTATCGATTTTGTTATCGATATTTTGTTGTTGTTGATATACAAGCCTCTAAGAAATCGCCTCGTGGGAGAAGACAGCAAAATAACTTTTTGTTGAAATATAATATGCCCCTTTTGAACTTTGAATACTAGATTAACATCTCTATTCTGCAACTCTTTCGTATTCGGATTTTGGTACGAATCTTAGAAATGGTATGCTGGTTCCGAATCGGATCTTCGAACTTTCGAAATTCGTAACAATGGCATGCCTAAAAACGACGAGTAAGCTTTTTTGCGTAATTTTGTACGAAAACAATTCTGTGTCGGATTCGAGATACAAGATGTAAATCGATGTGTGTTTGCAGTAAATATTAGTGGTGTTTATTAAAAAAGATAAATTTGCCTTTCGCTTTACGTATATTTTTATCCACTAGTTTATATAAACGAGCAAAAAAGAATCTTTGTTGCCCCTTATCGAGAAACTTGGGTACGGTTTAGTTATTTGTACAACGATTTTCGGTTTTTGTGTCCAAACACATAACCGGAATCTAAAAACTTTAACATATACGTGTAATCAAAGGATTAAACCTTTATTTAAATTAAATGTTTCAAATTACACAGGCGTACAAAAAAATTCTTATGCATATTAAACCAAACCTATATATCCCTATGTTATACGACACGCTGAATGCGAATTCGAGGCCCGTTAGTCTCCACCACGTCAGGTTCGTGGCAGATGAAGGTCAAGTAGGGAAAAATTCATTGAATAAACCTGAAAATTCATATACATAGGGTTTTACATTCGCTGAACCCGAATCCGAGGTCCGTTAACCTCCATAATGTCAGCTTCAAGGTCATTTGAAGGTAAAAGAGGATATAAAATTTATTCAATAAAAATTAAAAAAAAAAATGTTTTTGTTGTCACTGAAACCGAGTATAAAGGTCCCTTGATTCGTCAAGGTCATATATAAAATAGTACCCTGAAATGCCAGCTTAATAGGGTCGGGCCCCGCCCTAAATTTCATTCTGGCTACGCCGATGCCTGTGTTATTAATAAATTTGGTTTGCACTATGCACCTTTTTGCAAATTTCGATGTGGGTTCTGCGTAAAAATACTGTGATATGCACAAGAAATATTGTATACCTTTGATATGCGGAAGCCCCTCTTCTCCGGCAACACATAAAGGAGAATTCTACTTAGTAAGAGCTTGTGGTTCAACAATTCAACCAGAAGCTGACATATATGTGCTCATGGTTACTATGCCCGGCAGCTCCGCATACCTTTGTGAATCAATTGCCATAGCGCGCTCCTACTCCGCTGCTATAACTGCAAATGCATCAGAATCCATAATTTTCCTCAAAATATTTAAAATCAATCAATTTTACTATAAAAAAGCACATGATGAGTGTTTTTTTAATTCCTTTCCACTTTGTTTTCCTTTATACAACTAAGTTCGAAAAACAACAGATACCTGGCAATGCTGCAAATTTTTCCGCAAGGGTTGCAGCATGTCGATTTTTCGTTTTTCGTAACGTAGCTACGAATTACGAATTACGAAGATTCGGGTTCTAGAATAAGGGTGTAAAACACTGTATAGGTTAAACACTCGGTCAATGTTCTAATAATTAACAAAATTTTTAAGTAATAAAAACGATGACTTAAGTTGATTATAGCCATGATACAAAAAAGAAGGCAGTTTCATTACTACTATTTTTTGATTATAAAGCAGATTTTTGACATTTCGCCAAATGTAAACATTGAGCATAGCTTTGCCATATTGGAATTTTTTGAGAAGGGAGATTTTTTTTTAATATTTGGGATTCAATAAAAGATTAAAAAAAGGCAAATTGATGTGATCGATAATCAAAGTTGAAAGTTTTTCTCAAGCGTAAAAACTACTTTTGAAGAATATCGATGTGCAGGTTTTTATACCCGAGCGCACTTGTGCACAAGGGTATATTAATTTTGTTCACATAACGGTTGTTTGTAACAGCCAAAACGAATCGAGATAGATATAGACAAATGTATACATATATGCTCAGAATGAATAGAGAAATCGATTAAGCCATGTCTGTCTGTCCGTCCGTCTGTCCGTCTGTCCGTCCGTCCGTGTACACGATAACTCGAGCAAAAATTAAGATATCTCAACGAAATTTGGTATGTAGGTTTCTGTTAATCCAAGGTAGGTTGGTATTGAAACTGGGCGAAATCGGACAGTAAGATATTGGTGCATCCCATATAACGGTATCTTAGAGAAATACAAAATCTTCGATAAATCAGTAAATATTAAAGCAAATTTATTCAAAATTGATGCTTGCAACACTTCTTTACCAAGAAATACGTTTATGGTAAAATTTGGCGAAATGGGCGTGGCACCGCCCACTTATGATCACATATATATATATCGGTAACCGTTCTACCAATTTGTACCAAACTCGGTATTTTTATTGTGCTTGCTACATAAAAGAAAACGTTGAAAATCATTGAAATCGGACTAAAATTACGGCCGCTTTTCATATAACGGTAAATTTCAGAAATGCTTGAAACTGCAATATTTCGAAATTTAAGGACGCTATTTTACTCAAAATTGATACACCCCGGCTTACCATCTAGCGGTAGCTTTCGGAAAGGTGAAAAAACATATATTTAATACTTGCGCCGGGTATTTAATGTTCGGCTCCACCCGAACTTAGACTTTCTTACTTGTTATTATTTATTTTAAACTAAATAAACAAATTCGCATATATGACATGTAACAAAATATTAATCTATGTTGTATTTTTCTTAATTTCTTTGCTGAAGCTTTGCATCCGTCCCCTTGCAGATATATGTACTTTGTGCTTTTGCAATCAGGAAATAAACACCTCAATTTTTAATTTCTTTCAAAGCTTTTTAAGAAGATTTCCAATAATAATAGCCAATTGTGTATTTAACCATTTTTTATAGTAATTATATTTTATAGGTCCGCCGAAAGCTCCAGAAGATGCAATGGGGGGGCAAATAAAAAATCTTTAGTATTAAAAAATTGGTTTAAAATAAATAATAAAAATCTGCACATCGATATTCTTCAAAAGTAATTTTTACGCTTGAGAAAAACGTTCAACTTTGATTAGCGATCACATCAACATGCCTTTTTTTACTCTTTTATTGAATCCCAAATATTAAAAAATTCTCTCTTCTCAAAAAATTCCAATGTGGCAAAGCTATGTTTAATGTTTACATTTGGCGAAATGTCAAAAATCTGCTTTATAATCAAAAAATAGTAGTAATCAAAGTACCTTATTTTTTGTGTCATGATTATAGCTTTTTTAATGTTATTCCTAGCATTCGCATTCGCATTCGCGAATGTTCAAAATATGACATTCGAAACATCCCTATTATGTACATATGTAAATATGTATGTATAAATTGGTTATGAGACAAAATAGATATGTAATCTTACAGCCCGATTCTGTAAAAACTGACAGCGTTGCTTGTCAGTGCTGCCATGTCAGAGACGTTGTCAGTTGAAAGCTCCCCTGCTATTCTAGTTCGATGACTGAAAAGCTGAAAGCTCTTTAAACTCACCACGCAATGAAAGGCAAAACAGCTGACTGGTGAGTTAAGTCAAACAGATGGCAACTGAGAAGAAGTAAGTTTGTTTACATATTTTATGTAAAAAAAATACTTAAAATGTGTTATTATTTTGATAGCGTGATAAGAACTTCTTTATTTTCTTTTCTTTTGACATAATATGTGTGCTACATATAAATGTATGTAGGTGCGTAAAGTTTGAACGGAGTTCCAAGCAGGCAAAAACAATCCACAGGAGCCACGGCATATGCAATTGCTTTGGGAGGAGCTAGCACAAGGGCTGAATTCCTTAAATGATCCAATACGAACGGCAATCAAATGGAAAGAGGTTATATATACATACACACTGCCGGAACAAACTATTGGCACAGCAAATTTTTCACAATATATGCAACAATTTTCATTCTAATATTTTTCTGCTAATTTCGTATAAAAGTATTGTTCATACTACAACAAAAAACATAAAAATATAATTCCTAAACTTTGTGCAAAACTCACGAAAATGCAGCAAATTTTCATGAAAACT